TGAAAGGGGCTTTACGGTTACCCGGTTAACCGTTGGAGCATCAAACGACCTCCAAATGGCACCAAACTTGACAGGCGGTCTACCGGTGCTATACCAAGGCCGCTTGGCAAACCTCGGGCCATTCCAAGAAAGTTTAACAGCCGCACACGAAAAGAGGCAGAAGGGGGCGCCGGGGAACATAGGAGCGCCGGATTGCAAAACGGAGAACGGGGAAAATGTTCGGATGCATGAGACAAACACGTATGCAAAATGAAATGCACATGATGACATGATAAAATGCAACACGCAAGCAAATGACATGGCAACAATGATGAATAACTGGCAGACACCTGGCGCACTGAATCCGGGGCGTTACACTCCCGCTCCTCCAAGTCCACAAACACGTGAGCCGACTCCTCCTCGAAGTCCGCCACCTCCTCCAAGTCCCCGGACGCTTGAGCAGACTCCTCCTCCTTCATGTCCGGCACAGCGTCAGGCCACTCCTCCTGCTTCAAGTCTGGCACAGCGTCAGCCACGTCAGCCATCTCCGCCGTCTCAGCAATCGCAGAAGAGACACGCCGCAACTATGGTGCGTAGCGGTACGAGTCGAGGTAGTACAGGAAGTACAGGCGGAGACAAGCGATATAAATATGGTCCAAGCCTCGCTCCTCTTCCTCAGAGGCCTTACGACATGACCGAGGAGCAAAACGCAGCCATAGTGCAGGCCCAAGTGGACGCCCATTTTGGACCGAAACCGGCACCGCCGTCAAAGGAGAAAGTGCCTGAGAAAACGATTGACCACTTCATTCGTATGGCTAGATCACCAGCTCCCAAGCCTGTTGACTCAGACTATGAGCGTCAAATCAGGAAGCTACATCGAGCATGGCTACAGAAGGAAGCGAGGTCGAGCTCGAGCCAACAAGCAGCTGGCAAAAAATGCGGGAAAACCGTTCCCTAGCTGGGAGAACAGGCAGCGCAAGCGATCCCCCCGCTTGTTGTGCCAACAACACATGAGAGGAGTGCGCGCGCCAAATATTATTGTGGGCAAACTGTTAGTGTTCCCCAGCAGGGTGATGTGGTAATAACGGAGGAGCATATAATGCAGGCTGAAATGCTCAAGATCTCTGTTGGACAACTCCTCGAAATCGAGCCCATGTCTCCGCTTAGAGAATCGGAAATAAAATGGAAATATGTCCGGGGCCAACCTTTGGTCCATCCAGACAAGGTCAAGGACCTCACAACGAGAATGTATGAATTGCATCAATGGTACATGAACATTACCAAGATTTCCAATCGAGTGTCCCTCATGGTGAATGTCAAGGAGGAGCATTATTACCATGAGAAAGCTCTGGCCATTGAGTATCGAGAACAATTTCAGTTATACAATCAAGACGCACTTGACAAGTCTATCGTCAGTTGCTATTGTCTGTAAGTGATTTTTTCTGTAATTTAAGTCTCAAGCTAGTTATGTAGTGATAATTTTGATCAATCATTACATGTAATTATCCTCACTATATTCTTTTCTGTGGTATTATATGCAGGATGAAGATGTACCAAATACTATTAATGAGGACATATGGAAGTTTCTATTTTATCAAGCAGGTGTAGATGAAAGCATGCTAGAGTTCTTGAAGCGCCTCAATAGCAATGAAGATATACTACTTCCTTACAACTTCCCGTGAGTCACACTGTCTTGTACTACAAATTCTGTTTTTGCTTACTAGTTAGCTAGATGTTAATAATTAAGTGTATACGGTTTACGGTAGTTGATTAATTTTATGCACATGCCTGCTTAATTAAGACATGCAAATGTGTGCGCATGCAGTTGGCACTGGGTCTTAATAGACATTAAAGTTGATGAAGGAAAAGTTGAATTACTGGACTCACTAACTAAAGAAGATAAAGACTTCACCATCGTGAAGGAGATAGTCAATAGGTAATTTCAATCATTATTAACTATATATATCTCAACCTATTATTAGTTCGTCATTTCCTGATATGAACTATTTAATAACCCCTTTATTAATTTTCTTTGCCGGCGGGCAGGGCATGGGCAAAGTTCATCAAGGTGACTCCAGACGACTGGAAACAAAAGTTGTTTTGGCATCGACCAAAGGTAAGTAACTAAATAGTACTAGCTAGCTACCATCTCTTTTAATTCTTGTTTCAATATCATTAATTAATTATCATGCTTGATTAATCATTATCTGATTCAATTCCATTCTCGTAAAGGCCCTGAAGCAGGCGCCGGGGAATAATCTGTGTGCATTCTATGTTTGCGAGAACATCCGCATGATGACGTCCGAAAGGAGCAGATCTAATAGACAGGACTGGGTACGTTTGTCAGAATACTATTCACACCATTATCGATATCTAGTCACACAACTAACACACATGCATAATGATCCTTCTTAACAGTTCAGAGAGGTGCGGGATAAGCTCCTACCATCGGACCGCATACTAGCACTTCAAGAGGAAATAGCCGGATTTTTGCTCGACCAGGTCATAGATCCCAAAGGAGAATACTATTACCCGCTACCGCCCCCATGAACCACTTGTCATCGTGCTCCGGAGGCACCAAAGCAACATATGTAGAAGAAATTGTATATATATATACATGTGTATGTGTGAATAATTAATGGTGTTGGTTGTGAGACATTCGATATATATATATATATATATATATATATATATATATATATATATATATATATATATATGCGGTTCTACGTACGAAAAAATCTATTTATATATATGCATAACGTGTACAATTTGTAGTATCGTGAAATACCAGCAAACAAAAAAAATGGAATAGAAAATAAAGCAAAAAAAACCTCAAACATTTAGTACCGGTTGGTGTTACCAACCGGTACTAAAGCCCTACGTGCACACGGGCCTGGCTCGTGCCACGTTGTGTCACTTTAGCGCCGCCGGTACTAAAGGGGGGGGGGGGCTTTAGTCCCCACTCTTTAGTGCCGGTTGGCAAACTGGCACTAAAGGCCGTTACAAACCGGCACTAAAGGCCGGTTCTGCACTAGTGATTGGACGGAGTACTATTTTTCTTATGCTTCAAGTATGTACATTAATTTGCTCTTTATGACAAGCGGACTATCACATAAATCATAGTAATGCACTATTTTTACAACCGCATTCCAGACTTGCACTTTGGCATGGGTAGGTATTTATATCCTCGAGAGTATTTTTAAGTGACAATCCTCAATTATCTTTTTCTTTATCTGTTTACTTTGTATAGTTACAAAGATAAGTTTAGAGAACTGAAGCGGCACTTGGTTCATTCGTGTATGAGGCTACCGTTAATATCCTTTGGGCCCATTATGAAGGGATGCCCGCTAGTATCCAAGATTGAAGATGGTGTTTCATGAAGTAACCTTCATAATGTTGTAGCACCAAATCATGCTAATAAATCACGTTGTAGATGTTTCTATCCCACAAGGGTGGCGGCATGGTCTACGCTCCACTCCCTCGTCTTAGGGCATGCTTTCGGTCCCATATGACCTTGTTGTTGTTGGTGTTTTTTTAAAAAAAAATTGTCATCGTGTGCGAGTTTGTGTTGACTGTGTATATCCTAGTCATGCGGAGGCCGGATATATGCTAATTATGCTATGTATGCTACAATACGACTTAATAAAAGCACCATTTACTGAAAAATACATGTTCTTTCTTAGTGCCGTTGTGGCATGATTATCTAGTAACACATTCATAGGCATTCATTCATTTGTAGCATGTGAGATCAAAAGGTCATGGCAATACACTCCTCTCTTACAGCTGCAAAGAGGTCAGAGTTCATGTATCTCTCGCCCCCGCTCGGGAACATGGTCACAATCATCTTCCCCTTGTTCTCTTCTCTTGCTGCGACCTGAAGATACATTTGACTCGGAAGAGTTAGTAATATCAAAGAAGGAAAGTATAACAAAATTGAAAACAAAGTTAATAACCCATTTCTTTTTTCTTTAAATGCAAACAAAAATTCAAACCAGGTATCCCCATTTTCCATTAATACAGAAAAAAAAAAGATATGAGATGTGAACCTTCAAGCAAGCTGCCAGGTTTGCCCCAGAAGATATGCCCACAAGCAGGCCTTCTTCCATTGCCAACCTCCTCGCATTCGTCATTGCGTCCTCGGTGGTCACGGTGACCGTCTCATCGATGATCGAGGTGTCCAAGATCTCAGGTAAGAATCCTGGTCCTATTCCCTGGATTTTATGTTTTCCTGGTTCCCCACCTGAACAATACCAACGCGTAAGTCAACAGAGTGTCACTGTCACTAATGAAGCAATCTGAAGCAATGGTACCACACAATATGAAGCAATCGGGTAGCCACAGAATTATCTGGACTGCAGGTTTCAATCAATCATGAAGATACGATGAGAGCATGACACATTGACACTTATCTGCTGCCTAACAAATGAAAGCATCCTTTCAAGATGACAAGGGAAACATTTTCTGAAAAAAAAAAGACAACGAGAGGAACTAATGGATTGACAACTAAACAGCAAGCAGAGTTACAACTGCACTAAGAAAAGTACTCCATTCTGTAACAATTTTTTTTCCGAGGATATTCTGTAACAAATATTAGATGCCAAATCATTTTGCAGATTCTCTACAGTAAATATCATCTCAATTAAAAGTGTGGTACTTTATTTCTGTGAAGTATAAAAGTAGTACAAAATATCTAACCTTAATTAGCCATTACTGATGATTTCCAAGGGTTAAGGGGTAAGTACTCCATCAATTTTGAAGTTCAACATCAGATTTGTTTTTACCTGAAATAACTGGACTCTCTGCAGGTTCCACACAAATGATCTTCACATTTGGGTTTTGCATCTTCAGATACTTTCCGACACCAGATACTGTACCTCCTGAGCCTGAACCAGCAACGAATATGTCCACCTTGCCAGCAGTATCCTTCCAAATCTCAGGTCCTGAAAATGTCATACATCTTTTTAAGAACTAACTTGCTAAGACAGATCAATAAGGAAGTACCCCTTTCTTCTGAATATCATAGGTTAAGTCATCTTGGACAGTACCAGTCCATCTGATGTGTGCATCAGGATTTGCTGGATTTGCGAACTGATCAAGAACGTGTACGTTCGGTAATTCTTTCTTGAGCTGTTCGACCTTGTCGACTAGTCCCGGAAACCCAAGTGTTGGATCTGTCAAAAGAAACAAGGTTACAAATACAAATCACAGCGGTTAATTACAAGGAAATCAGACCTAATCAAGCAAGCAAACATTTGTGTTTCCTTGAGCCAGGAAGCAACTATGTTGATGCTATCTATCTATCTCACCAGTTATGAACAACTCAGCACCCATGTATCTCAACAAGATCTGCTTATCAAGCGAGTATTGGCCCGGCATCACCGCGACGAACCTGTAGCCTTTGCTAAGAGCAACCAGAACCAATCCAAGGCCTAAATTACCGCTGGTCGGCTCGACTAGAGTCGTGACACCGGGTGAAATCAGCCCCTTCTCTTCAGCATCCTCGATCATCCTGAAGAAAACATGCAGACATAGCACAAAGTTCGCAATTATCGCCTTAATCATCTTAATCTTAGTCTACAGCCAAACATGAAAATGGTGGTTTACAGAAAGTTTGATCTTAGCGTAAGTAGAAATTTAGCCCCTTTTAGCCCCCGTTGACTTTTGACAAATTGCCCAACTAGCTCTGTGACCTGATACCATCCTAAGATTTGTGAAATGAAACGAGGCTGAGCAGAACGAGCTAACAGTACCTGAGAGCGCTGCGGTCCTTGACGGAGCAGAGGGGCTGGTAGGCCTCGATCTTGCCGACGATGCGGGCACCCACCCCCTCCTTCCCGGAGATCCGCTTCAGCTCGATCAGCGGCGTCCACCCTATCAGCTGAATCAAACCAATCGCTCCACATGAGCCTCCCCTAAATCCCAGCCCACCTCAACCTCCGTCAGAGCCGATATACAGGGGAAGAGGTCGAGGCTTGCCTGGGTGACGTCGGAGGCGATATGCTCCTCCTGCCCGGTCCCGCCGTCGGCGAGCAGGGAAGGGACCCCTCTTCTGCCAGTCCCCTCCGCTCCATCCCCCGTCGCCATGGACGAAGCCGCTGCTGCTGCCCGACGGCCGGCGCTCCCGTGCTTCTTGGCTTCTCGCGGGAGGAGGAGACAGGGCAGCTAGCTAGCGCAGGGAGGACTGATGAATTGGTCCTGCAAATCGCCAAATTTGCTACTCGAGAATCAAGGAGGAGACGGGAGTATTTGTTTTTGGAGCTTTGGTAGCTGCGCAGCCCAGTCTCTGCTCCGCTCCGCTCCGACCCCGTGGTTGTTAATTTAAGGATCAAGAACGTGTCCATTTTTGCCGCCATTTGGCACACCTTGCAAACCCAACCCTATCCAGTGGACTGTTCACCGGAAAACGAGGGGTTTTCTCTCCACCTTTGCGAATTGCGACAGCCACCAGGTCGCGATCTCAGACTCAGAGCATGTATAACCTGTTTTTCCTTTTTTTTTTCCTGGGGGTGCCATGTCATCACATTCGTCGGGTGGTTGGAGAGAGAGTTTATTGGGAGCTACTACAGCCCAGTCGACCGAAATAATTTTGGGTCAATCGACTGACCCAAAATCGTTTCAGTCAAGCCTGCTGTCGGATGCCGTCCTAACTTGACGAGTTACCATCTACATATTTGTACATACTCTCTCCGTTCAAAAATACTTATCATCAAAATGGATAAAAAGAGATGTATGTAGAACTAAAATACATCTAACTCTTTTATCCATTTTAATGATAAGTATTTTCGGACGGAGGTAGTAGTAATTTTTACGTAGTCCTACCCCCTACGTGTATGGTACTTCTACCCAATTTTGCCCCTAACTAGTAGTTCCTAGAAGCACATCTGCACATGAGCTAACTTGGCATGTTGGCTGAAAAGCTATTAGCATGCCCGCGCATATGCGACTACACATAAAACAAACAATGATTGAAAATTGCATACGGTTGGCACGGAAATTGCACTGTTTCATAATATGTAAGAATAAGCATATAGTAATGCAATTTTTAGATAACGGTATGAACCGCACACACATTAATTACATTAAAATTGAGTGAGTGTTTATCCTTGTTATGAGGGCAATTACTTGGTAGGCGCTTTGCTTTTTACAGCCTTGCTCGGACCCTAAAAACAAAAAATAGAATAAAAATATACTGGTGGAATGAGATCGGTATTGCCTCTAAAGAAAGAAAATAAAATTAAAAAATCAAAATCAAAACAATAAAGTTTTCTATGGAAGAATTAAACCCTTTAGGAAGAAAGAAAATGAGAAAAACTAAAACAAAATGAAAATAATAAAGTTTGCACTGAAATTGCACTTTTAGTAATATGCAAACAACGAACATATAATATTGCAATTTTACACTCTACTACAATTTACACACATGTTGTATAGTACTTGTGTGTATACTTATTTAAACACACAAAAATATAAAATTCTCTAAAAAAAGAATGAATTAGTGGCATTGGTACCACCCTTTAGGAAGAAAGGAATGCAAAAATAAATCATGGTAAATTTGCACATAATTTACCCATAAGTTGCACTTTTTATAGCTATGCAAGAACTAACATATACTAGTAGAATTTACATTAAAAAATAGGATTCAAAGAAAGAAAGAATTAGTGTCATTGGTATTACCCTTAAATAAGAGAGAAAGTGAAATAAAAACATAAAACTAAAATTTTGTCAAGATTAGTACAAATATTGCACTTTTTATAATATGTAAGAAAAAACATATAGTAGTGAAATTTCCATACTCTAATATACTGTATACATGTAGTACTTGTGTGCATATATTTACACACACTCAACATCCAAAAAAATGCTTAAAGAAAAAAACTAAAACACAAAAAAAAGGAAAGAAAAAGGGAAAAAGGAAAAACACATAGAAATAGAAATCTGGAATAAAAAATAAAGCAAAAATACCCAAAAAAGAAAGAATGAATATGTGGCAATGGTATTACCATTTAAGAACAAAGAAAATGGGAAAATAATCTAAAACAAACACTGACAAAATTTGCGTGAAATATACATAAAAATTGTGATTTTTAAAAATATGCAAGAATAACCATATAAAAGTGGGACTTCTGCAAAAACAAAATCTAAGAACAAATGAATAGTGGCATATAATAGTGCATTTTTCATAGAATTGGAATTTACACACAAATTATACATTACTTATGTGTACATATTTTATATTCACCCAACATCCAAAATATATCCACAAAAACCGATAAAAAATACAGTAGTAAAAACGCACGCAAACAGCCTAATAAAAAACATGTAACAGGCTTCAGCCCAACAAGAAATTGACTGACCCAAAATAGGGGTCAATCAAAAAACGCCCAACCCAATACAAGACACAACATACAACAGGAAAAACAATTAGCACGCATCTTGGAGCAGCAATCAACGGTCAAAAAATCGGCTGGCTCAAAACTTAAAACTCAGTCAGCTGACATGTATCTAAAGTGGAGTTTATTTGCTGCCTCCTATGGATCAAAGTGCTCCTATTTTAAACCGGCATCACACCTAGGTGCTTTAGAAAACTGGTTTCAGCCAGTCCCTCATATTCAATGGTGTTCACATTTCCTTGTATTTAGGCATTCTCTCGATGTGTGTGGTCAGTGGTAGACGTAGTTCCCCTCGAGTACGATGTGTCTCATGATGATTTGGTCAATCTCAAGATTTACCGGTTCAACCCATTAGAGGTGTTACTCTATGTTCTCTTCCAAGCTAATTAAGATTGTATGCAAGTACATGGCCTCAAGGGCCTATCTATATTAATGTTTCATTGTTATTTGATATACTAATGAAGCTGAATATGAAACACTACCTACCAATCATAGGAATATTGCATGTAATCAAGCGTTTATCTAGTTTGCGAAATCGGGTCCCCATAGTATCCTATCTCAAGGAGATGCAACTGTCCTGGGTGGCCGAGACTTTGGTGATCTTACAAATTGGTATTCAAGCCTCTCTAAGTGAAGTCATCATGCAAACTATCTGAACTTGGAGAACTACACCCTTGTGTATGCATTACCAAAAAGGCTTCTCCGCTTTATATATAAAGCAATGATCAACCATAGCCCAAGTACAAACGGACCCCACAGCAACATACACACACACACACCCAAGGCGGGATACATAGGCACTGAATGCAGCAGCATCACCCCTAACACTACAATAGCAATCGAGGTCCTCCACCGTGAACACGCCGCCTTCATCGGGTCCTCCCCTTCACTCTGCCTGCTTTGTGCAATCTACTTTTCTTGAAGTTCTCAATTGTAAAATTGCATTTGTAGGGAGCTATTAGGCAAATAGTAGTTTATCCAGTTACATTTGCGAACCCCACTAAGAAAGGGGTTAAATCTTCTATTAACCCCCTCTTGTCGATCATACATTATCCTTTACAAAGGCCCTCTTAACTAGATTGGTATGTTTGATTTTACGTAGGTACTTAAGATGAATTTTATTTGTGTAACTCGTTGGAGCATTTGTACACACTAGATGAGACCAAGTGCATTCCGACAAGTATATCATATGTATGTAATAGTTGAAAATCCATAATATTTTTATATTCATTTGTGATTGTTATAAGTGATGATGTTTTAATACAAGTATAATCCAAGCACATATTTTCAACCGAGTACTTAATCCATTGTAACATATGACAACACAAAAACTGATAAAGAAGCATGCTAACAATCGATGATAAACTCCTCATAAGAAACTAGTATTCTAGATGTTTCTGTTATTGTGCTTTCCTAACCATACAGTAAAAAACATGGTACACTTTTTAAGAATACTAATATATAGAGAAGAACACACATACACACTCAAATATATACATCCACTATCTTCATGAGAGTATCAAGATTAATCTTCGAAGTCACAACATCTTTTATTTATTCATTTAATTCTTTTTTGCATTAAGCAGGTTCTACGTAAATATCTTATTAAGGGCAATGTCTCGAAAGGCTAATATAACCTTTTTTTATAAAAAGTGCAGATTTACATACATTTCAAAGAGTGTAACAAAAAACACTACAGATTATGCAAACTAAGTAAACTAAAAATATAATAGGTACGAAATTATTTTAATAAAAATAAGCAAAAAAATATAAATGTTTAGTATAAATTCTATTTAGTTTAATTTTATCATCCATCTAAAAGAGAAAGTGTTGCCCGAGCAGGGGTCTTCTAATTGATTTTGCATTGAGCTCGAAAGGCATCATGATGGCTCAATCTTGTGGTTATCACCACAACCTATGGCGGTATAAGTGGGCGGAATTTTTATGTGCAAATAATACGCCTTATTCTAAATATACTAAACCTATCTAGGATTTTTTAATCTGGTTTTTTAACTTTTTTCAATCAGTAAAAATCAGACCAATGGGAGGCTGACACGTCAATTAGTGGGGGACGTGGGCAGGTAGGCTTTGGGGTGGGTCTAGCGATTTCATATAGGATAAGTTATTCCTTTTGCTTGGTTGACTGCGTGAGTATATTAAACGGTTCTGTCTGTTCCTGCATGGCAGTTTGCATGCGGCTGTTTGGGAGTTTTTTTTGACTGGATCGTGATGGTTTGTAGGAGTAGTCGGTTGTTGCATGTTGCCATGCTGGACCACGCGTTGGCGTGCATTTAGTTGATTGGTGGTTCCGAGATTTCTCTCGATTCTTTCTCTCGGAGGAACTCATCAAATCGCATACGATTTCTCTTCCGTTCTTATCTCAAACCCTGCCGCCCTGCCGCCCACCACAACGCCGCAGATTGCGCCAATAAAAAGACAGATTTGCTATTTCACATCTAGATGTGAAATACTATCTCACATCTAGATGTGAAATACTATCTCACATCTAAGTTCCTCATCTTTGAATTTGTTTTGTCTGGCCCGCGAAAAAGAAAAGAATTTGTTTTGTCTTTTTTTTAGGTAAAGAATTTGTTTGATCTCATGATTTTGTTCGTGTCCAAGGGGTGCGCTGGTGCAGCCTCCTACGTTGCAGCGTGCCATAGTGTGCTAGCTCATGTGTGTGCCGGCGTGGGC